TTTTCCGTTTGGTGTTTTTTTCATAAACTCTGTCTGCAGCCAGGCAGCTACGCCGCTCCCTGGGGTTTCTCCCCCCACCCGCAGTTGCCTCGCCAGCTGCACAAACCCTAAACCCTAAACCCTAAACCCTAAACCCTAATTTATAGCCCCCAAACCAAACCCTAAAAGCTTAAACAGTAACCCTTAAACCCTTACCTCTACACCTTATCCCTACCCCCCAAACCCTAAACCCTAAACCCTAAACCCTAAACCCTAAACCCTAAACCCTTCTTACATCGATTTGATTGGCGAATGTATGTTTTTGTTTGTGTATAAGGAGACAGAGAAATTTAATTATTTTTAAGAGTCTAGCTAGCTGCTGAGGAGACAGCTGCTTGCTGAGGTGTTTGTCTCCTGGTGTATTTCTTTGTATAGATATATGTTTTGCTGCTGCAACTATAAACTGTCCCCACTTCTCCGCTTCTCCCTCCTGCTGCTGCTGCTGCTGCTGCTGCTGCTGCTGCAGCAGCAGCAGCAGAGGAGCAGCAGAAGTACCCGTCTGAGCTGAACCATCGCCCAGCAGCTGCAGCGGCACGCAGTCATCCAGACAAAACAAATCCTCAGCACAAGTTGCTGCTGCATTGAACTTCGGCAGCATCTGCTGCAGCAGTTGCTGCTGCTGTGCTGCTGTTAGCTCAGAACCTCCTGCTGCTGCTGCTCCTGCTGCTGCTGCTGCTGCTGCTGCTGCTGCACCACCACCACCACTGGCAGCAGCAGCATCCTTGCAATCCGTCAATTGCTTCAGCAATGCTGCAGATGATAAACCCGCGCTCGGATCCCGGTTACCCTGCACGCACAAACCCTAAACCCTAAACCCTAAACCCTAAACCACAAACCCTAAACCCTAAACCCTAAACCCTAAACCACAAGCCCTAAACCCTAAACCCTAAACCACATATCCTGAACCCTAAACCACAAACCCTAAACCCTAAACCACAAACCACAAACAATCCCGGTGGAGTGTTTGGCGTTGATAGAGTAAAGTGTATATGAGGGTTGAGGGTTTAGGGTCTGCAAGAAAAGATGTATGCATTAGGGTTTAGGGTTTAGGGTTTAGGGT